CCTTTGTGGCGATCAAGCGCGCAACCGGCCAGCCTATCGTCAGCCCGACAGGACTTTCCGACTCGCATCAATCCACTCTGCCTAGCCACTGCTTCCCGGAAGTTGGCTTAGGAATTGAAAACGTAAGAGAGATTTGCGGGCGCGCTTGCGGGTTTTATAGTTGCGAGAAAGGAGATAGAAGGGGGAGAGAACGTCGGGAAGGCGGGGGTGTAGGAGGAGGAGGAGAAGACTTTGAGAAGAGCGCTCCGGGACGCCATGTTGATCCCTCGGAACTCAATGTTCAACCGATCAGATCCGTCGCGCGATAGGTAGGTCCTATCGATCCACGCACCTGATTGGCGAGCGGGAGTTATCGGGGGATCGATTGGGCGTCGTACGCCAGGCTCAGAGGGTGAGAAGAGAAAAGGCGCGAGAGGTGGCGCAAGACGGGTCCAAGATTCAGATGGTCGAGAAAGGGAAATGGGCGCACGAAAGCAAGGCGGGAGAGAGAGAGGGAGAAGGAAAAACAGTTACGGGGAGAGAGAAAAAAGAGGGAGAAGGGAAGGGAGGCGCGGGAGGGAGCGATGCGGGGGACAGAGAGGAAGAAGCTTTTGCATGCACGGCGCCGTCAACAAAAAAATGAAAAGGGCACCGAAACAGTTACAGCTTGCTTCTATTCCAATTCAAAAATTGAAATCACCATATCCGCGCGCGAAAAACCGACGCGGGAAAAGAAATTCTACGCTTATTCGTATTTACGCAAAATTCCGAGAGTTTTCTCCGATGCGCCCAAGAACATTTACACACCCAAAAAGGACTCGTCGAAGTTCCGCTTATCCCGGAGATCCCAACTACCAAGCCCAATTCCCAGCGCGCTTGCTAAGGCGCGCGCAATTTCCTATGTATTTCCCGACTTTGCAAAAGAAAAAAAACAGAACTCGGCAGTCGAAAAAGCTCTAAAAAAAAAAAGGAAAATGCAGCACCCGAAAGCAAGAAATCAAAACGGGGTTTTTCCTGGGGTTGGTAGGATACAAGCAAAAGGAAGGGTACGAAAGATAGCACGGGTTCGTGAAGTGGTTCGTCACAAGCGGCACCCTGATGATGATGCTGGTGATGACGCCCGATGATGGTGATGACGCCTGATGCTATGACGCGTGATGCTAACAACGGACCATTACCGTGATGATGGGTGATGACGCCCGATAATAGTGATGACACCTGATGCTAACAACGAACCATTCCCGTGATGATGATGCCGAACCACTCCCTAATGATGATGATGGTGATGATAAGCAATACCCTGACGAGCAGCCTCCTGATGACGATGGTGAATCCCTTACCATGGTGACGCTGTCAAAACACGCCCTGTTGATGATGATGATGACGATTCCAAGCAGCTCCAGTGCGACGATGACAGATGATGTTGATGAAGATGATGACAATCCCAGGTGCACTTCAGGTCCCAAGGGCTGACTCCGCTGTGCTCCACAGGCGCGGATTAACCCAACGCCACGTGGCCCTGTGCCACGGGCAGAACCGCAGCGGCGATGGGGCAAAAACGCGAAACTCCCGAGTAACCATCGGGGGTCGGCCTATCCTCCACGTCAGCCAGTGACGTGGCCTAGACCAGGCCCTGCGCGTGCGCTACGCGCTGGAATCGCCAGCTGGAAGATCGCCACCTCCTGCCATCGCCCCGATATCGTGCTCCAGCTTAGAATTCCGCCATGGTTGATGCCGGGGCGCAGCGCTCCCGGTAGTCTGCGCCCCCTGTACTAACACTTTGCTGCCTCGGTGTAACGAGGCCCTATGTTTGTCTATCCTGCAATGAGAATACTTAAACCACCAGTACTTGGACCAGCTATCGAAGATGAGCCTCCCAGCCTCCTGCGCGCCAAGTCCTGCCGGACCGCCGTCGGTCTTTTTTGTTTGCTTTTTGGCTGTAGCCTCCAGCCAATGCGGTCCGGTAGGCCGAAGCCCGAATGCCGCGGCGCGTTAACGGGGAAGCGCCGCGGCTGATAGCTGGGCCAACCCGGCCAAGTACTGGTGGTTTAAAGCTTAGAGTGAAGACCCCTGATGATTCTTCACTGATCTGAAACCAGTTGTCTTCAATCTAGGCTCAATCCCTTCCTGGCAACACGAGACCCCTGATGATTCCAGTAGTGGCGGTCGGATGAAACACAGCGTAGGGTCGCTGCGCCAGTCTTCACGATTATCTTTTGATGTACATGGCGGAGTTTTCTATAAATCTTTCGGCCATTTGGCCCTGTTTCGGGGAATGAGCTTTCACTGTCCTCCTTTCGCTATTCTGTTTTTCTTCTCTCTCTCTCTCTCTCTCTCTCTCTCTCTCTCTCTCTCTCTCTCTCTCTCTCTCTCTCTCTCTCTCTCTCTGTGTATCGTCAGTTTGACATTTTGAATTGTCTGGATTAAGCTTCGGCATTACCAAACCGTTTCGTGAATTTT